ACATTAATCAAGTTCATCTCACACCTTTTCCCACTTACGTCACTACTGGTGGGGATGCTCTGCCTAAAATTCCAAAAAACAACAAGAACCATTGAAGGCTAGCAAGTAGTAACCGATACACCAACTCTCTCAACAAATTAATCTATAAGGAAAAGTTCAACAATAATTAGTTATTTTTTGAAGCAATCAATTTTTTAACTCTGTGAAAAGCATGCTTCCTTTTAAAATATTCTTATGGTTGTTGAGATTTGAGAGTGCAAAGTCTGCCCTTCGCAATACAAGCTTGCCGGCTGACAAAAGTATCTCATGTACTTGATATAGAAATAAGTCTTTGAATGAATTCCAATGCATTTATGTATTTTAGGTGGTGTTATTCATTCTTGCAAGGTTAAGTTTAACTCAAAACAGGACCCTCAATTGCTTTCTTGTGTCCAATCATGAGGCACATTAAAGCAGTTCATAACAGCAAACAATATGACAGATCAAAAGAAAATAGTCTGTTGTTCATACAAATCATACCTTCCCAACTAAGACTTCATTTGAGGAGTTAGTTCCATATACATCTGCAGTATCAAATAATGTAATGCCCCTCTCAAAAGCATATTTAATGACTGCAATTCCATCTTCCTCTGGTAAAGGGGCACTGTAAATTCCAGTCAAACCCATACAACCAAAACCCAATTTGGAGACCTGAAAGAAAAAAGAATTTTTCCAATTCCAATAAGTGGCTGATGTAAAGAAAATGCTAAGTAGGAGCCTTGAAAAGCAGGAAGGTTGAAAATTGCACGCATGCACATGAAGAGAAAAGAACACCAGACAAACAAGAGAAAATGCAAAAAGGTACAAAAAGATAAGCATACACATAACATACAACCAATATAAGATGAAAAATGGCAAGAACAATTTTCCCATTTTCGGCTTTTGCAATAAGAACTCATCAATTAAGCATATTACGAGGAGCTATAAGATATTGCAGATGAGATATGGATAAGCCACATTTTCAAATGGGCGTCACCATAAAAAGAGGGAGTTTCAAGATTACTCAATGAAAATCACAGAAAATCCCCAATTTTCCACAAATGAATCTACTGCTTTTTGTATTTCAGAGTATCCACAAAAAAGTACACAATAATAAGAGTTTAATTGCAAAATAAGAGGTTGTGACCCCCTAAAATATAAGAAGAGAATAAATTAGTTAAATCAAGGAGCCGACCACCAAGTATCAACATGTTTCAGACACACTCCACAAAAATTCCTGTAAGATTTTAATAGAGCATTAAAAGCATGAGTCACAAAAATAGAATGATCTTTTTTCTGTGAAAATTGAAGAGAAAATAAATAATCCATGAACGCGACTATCAAGTATTACTCAAGAGTACACTGGAAAAATCAAAACCATGAGTCACAAAAATGAAATGGGTCTCTTTTTCTTTTGATTGCCGTGGAATTTTTAAGAGCTAACGATAAACAAATTAATGTAGGCCACACCTCTAATCCCTGGTTTCCAAGCTTGATACGTGGGACACTTTCCTAAGCCATGGTAGCCCTCGAACAAAGATGGCACCGAGAAAACACAGACGATTACACACCTTAAGCTTGAAGTTCTGATGAAGCCTGAAAACGATTTTTTTTGAAGGAAAATTGTTTCATGCGGGCTGGACCGCATTTCTACGTGTTAGAGATTACATGTCCTTAATAATTAAGTCTTAAAATTCCATCTTCAAAATAGATTTATTAAGATGCCAACATTTCTACATATAGGGGCTTGGCCGCATAGAAGCAGGGTCCTTTAATGAAAAATGGGGCCAATAATTTATTCTCTTTCTCGTCGGTAGCAGTTTTCTCTTCCTCTTCTTTTATTTGTTCATTTTTTTTTTTTTGGGTAGGTAACCGTTTTTTGTAATATTTTTATATGAAAAATAGTTTGGTAAAGCCTCACTTCATATATTTTGGAAAATTGTAATTCAAAGCATTAGAAAATATTTACATCAGACGTCTTGGGTTAAACATTATGATCATAAAAAAATTAAGAAAGATTTAAGCTATAAGATTAGTGTGCATTACAACAAATTATCTAAATCGTTCATTTCACCTTAAAAATAAGTGTTTACATATCCTCAAGATATATGAGTTTCGAATTTCATAATTGATGTTGAATAATGATTTTAGAGCTATCATAGAGATAGAGATGTCGGTTGCCAAAAGTACTTTTTGGATGAAGATTTCAAGTGAGGGTTTATTTTATTTTCATAAAGCCTAGGCCAATAAAAACCTCATCCTTTGTATATTTGCCGAAATTGGTTTTTCCATTGAATATTGCCGAGATATAGAAACTCTTACCTATCTGGATCAGCGTTTTAAAAAACGCCGAGTCGAACCGGACTCGCCCGGTTCGACTCGGGAATAGTGAAAAAGGAACCGGATCGCCCAAAAATCGGAAATCGTCCGGTTCTAGAGAGAACCGGACGATTCTGTACAGTGAATGGCCGATTCACTGTACAGAATCGGCGAGTCCGAACAGTGAATCGGCGATTCCGTTACGGTTTTTTTTTTTTTTTTTGGTTAATCCATGATAGATTTTTTTGTAATCCATGATCGAATTTTTTGGTTTTTGTAACCCATAATAGAATTTTTTGTAATCCATGATCGTATTTTTTGTTTTTTTTTTTTTGTAACCCATGATAATCCATGATCGAATGTTTTGTAATATATGATCGAAATGTTTGTTTTTTTTTGTAATCCATGATCGAAATGTTTGTTTGTTTTTTTTAATCCATGATTGAATTTTTTGTTTTTTGCTTTTTTTGTAACCCATGATAGGGTTTTTTGTAATCCATGATTGAATTTTTTGTAATCCATGATCGAACTATTTTTTTCTTTTTTTGTAATCCACGATTGAATTTTTTGTTTTTTTGTTTGTTTTTTTTTGTAATCCATGATCGAATTTTATGTAATCCATGATCGAATTTTATGTAATCCATGATTGAATTTTTTGAAAATTTGTGATTTTTTTTGTTTAATCCATGATCGAATTTTTTTTTGTAATCCATGATAGAATTTTTTGAAAATTTGTGATTTTTTTTTTTAATCCAT